TCAAACTTTCGTGAGGACCCCTCCCCACTGGCTCTTCTGTGCGGCCTGGACATTTGGGTGAGGGAAGGAGATGCTGGGGAGGGCAGGAAAGTTTCTTAGCGCCTTGACGTGTCCGCCTTGTTGGCTTTTGTCTGGGCTTTCCAGCTTCTGTTTCAGACTGATGTTTTGATTTCCACTGTGCTTAGCAACGCTCAGCAGCCATGCTCTGCCCCCACCACCACCCCCAGGAAAATCATTGTCTTTCTGAAGAGCTGCTTTAGCTCCAAACTGATAACTCTGGAAGGAACAGCCTTGGCCAATCTGAGCCGAGCTCAGAATGAGCACATGAAGGAAACAGCGACCTTGATCTGGACAATTCTAGCCTCTTGAGACCCTGAAATACAAGAGGATGGTTTAATATTCTGCACAAGAATGCAGCCACAGATGGTACCTCAGTCTTGGGCTGTCTGCATTGTTAACTGACCTACTTGCTTTTCTGACCAGTGGGCTGGGCTTTGCTGGAATTTCCTTATGGCATTTGATTATGGAAAATATTATGAAAGAAACAAAAAGAAAATATTTATGAAAGAAGGAAGCACATGTGGTTGGTTTGAGTATTATCTGGACTGGCTGTGTGCTGGCCAGGAACACAGCCTACCTGCCCTGGGTTTTAGGAAGCAGCCTCTGGCGACTGGGTGACTGCCGCTCCTTCTGAGGCCGGCCCCCAGCCAGGATGTCTGATGACAGAGCTCTGTCCTGGGATCCAGAATTCAAGGCCAAGTTTGCGTTGCTCTAGGGCAAACCACTGGTTCCCTGCAGGCCTCTCAAATGGGGGCTGCTTCTTTCCCCTCCACTCAGCCCACTGGACCCAGGGGTGGGATGCGTGTCCCCTCGACTCCTCTTGGCGCCTCCAGACACTCTCCCTCCCTCCTCCATCATAGCACTCAACTTTGAACCTCAGGAACAGCACCCACCAGGCAGTCCTTCTAGGCTCCTCTAGGCATCCAAACTGTCGACACCCCTCTCGGATCCAGGACAGGAGCCACAATTGCTGGCAGGGTATGATGGGGGCATCGGGGGCATTCTCCAGAGGCTCCCTCACACAGCCATCCAGAGACCCCAGCACGGCCCACTCACCTGGCGTGGGTGCCAGGGCCACGTTGCTGGGAAGTCTCACCCCCGCCCCCCCGGGATCTGTGTCAGGGGGCCGAGCTTCCAGGGTCTCTCAGAGGACAGTCCCCACGTGGCCCCATCGCTATAGTGGTTCATCTGTGGTTCTTTTCAGTCCAGATCCTTCTACCAGTCAGGTTTATTTTTATCATAAGCCATGTTGTCTAATAACATAGACAACTTTTATCAAGTTTCCATGGAAACAGGGCTGGAAAGTGAACCTAAGGTCAAATGCTCTAGCAGGCCGTGGTAACCCTTCGCCCACACATATCCAGGGGCCACGTCACCTACATCCCTCCTCAAGCCTGCCTGGGTCCTTGGCGAGTTCTCCTCCCTCCTCTGTCCGTCTCCCCGGTGCTGAGTCTCCCCGATGCTGAGTCCCGCCCTCACTCTCGGTTCCTTCAGTCGCATGGTGACCCTTCTGAAGACCTTGGCCTGCAGTTCCCTGGCCTCCCCTCCCCCGTGAGCGCGCCCTCCCCCCGGCTCGGCCCCTCCGCGGCCCTGCCCTGCTCCTCGTCAGCCAGCCGGTCAGACGTCCCTGTCTTCACCTTCCACCTCTGTCTTCTCAGCTCATCCCTCAGGAATTCCCCGATTCCAGCCATCTTGGACCCTCCCGGGCCTGCGATCCCTTGAACCGGCCACCTCTGCACAGTCCTCCCCTGCCCTACACCTCTNAGGCCTGCGATCCCTTGAACCTGCCACCTCTGCACAGTCCTCCCCTGCCCTACACCTCTCCTCCCCCTTTACTGGCTCACGCCCTCCCCTTCCGCCCTCCTCTCACTCCTCTCCTGTTAGCATGGACGGACTGTCTGGCAGGCGAGCCCCCAGCCGTGCATCGGGTTCCACTGACCACTCGGGGGCACGGCCCCAGCATAACCTCCGTCCCTCCCACTGCGTCAGTTTTTACCTCTCTGAGGTCATTTCCAGCAGTGTGCACACTGGGTGTTAACCCCCATTTTAGAGAAATCTTCTGACCTCACTGCCCCCCCATGACCTCCCAATCTCTCTCCTCTGTACTCACACACATGCACGCTCACACGCACACACACATGCACACACCTGTACACATGCATGTACACACATGCACACGTGCACATGCTCATGCNCTTCTGTTTGCTAGGGATGCCCTGGTTCATGTTAGCTGGACTTCTCTGCTGGGCTCCAGACCGGCTCTGTCCTTGATTGCTCCCTGGCCTGAGCTCCTGCTGCTGCACCCAGACCTGTCCTGTCAACCACTGACAGGTGACAGACACTCACCTGTCAGTGGTTCAGGAGACAGATTGGCGTCACCCTTGAACCCTGTCTCCTCTCATATCCCGCATCCAGGCTGCCCACAGATCCTGTGCAGATAGTTAATGATGCTAAGGAACTATGTTTAAGTTCTTTTAGATGTGATACTGATACTGTGGTTATGTTTTTAAGAAGAACCCTTATCTTTTGGAGATTCTTACTGAAATATTTATAGATGAAATACCATGAAGTCTGGGCTTTACTCAGAATAACCTAGCATAGTGATTCTCACCGAGAGGACTCATTCAAACACAGGTTGCGGGGTCTTCAGCCCAGAGTCTCTGATTCAGCTGGGCTGGGGTGGGGCCTGGTCATTTGTACTGTTTCTAATGCTGGGTGATGCTTATTGTCTGAGGACTACGTTCTGAGGCCCTGATCTCAGGGGTAGGAGACTGGGGAGGGTAATGAATGAAATAAGGTGGGGCCTGAGCTGGTTTTGAGTACATTGCATGTGGGTGCATAGGGTTTATTACACTTACTCTGCCTTTATTTGGAAATTTCCATAATAAAAAAAGTGTGTGTGTGTGTGTGTGTGTTTCCAGAATTTGACTGTTTCTCAGCACTGCCACTGCTCCCACCATGGCCCCACTAGCATCATCCCTTGCCTGAACCATTTTCATGCCCCCTAACTGGTCTCCTTGCTTTCTCCACTTACCCCTCTGGTGTCTGTTCTCAACATAGCAGCTAAAGTGACCCTCAAAACACTACAAGGGCTCCCTCTCACTCACAGTGAAACCCCAAGCCTATTTATGACCTAGAAAGCTCTTTATAATGTGTCCCCC